TGCAACCATCTTGACTATGAATACTTAGTGACAACTCCCTAAAAGAGTGGACAAGGGGCAAGGAAGCAAATGCTAAGTCGAGGTATGACGAAAGGCCTCGATCTCCTCCACCATCAGAGCACACCAATTAGGGTGATTTAGTGCTTGAGAAATAGATTTGGCAACTAAAATAGAGAATGTGCTAAAAAGAAAGACATAATATGATGAGGTGAGATGAGAATAGGAAATAAAGTTAAAAAATATGATGTAAAGATTTTCTAGTCCTAGATGTAAAGATCTTCTACCATGCATAAAAATTAATAAATTATAGGAAAAAGTTTAATAACTATTACCCTCCTTCAATTTGCTCTATTTCTTGCCCTGTTGCTCCACATTTTATTTATTTTTTATCTACATGAAGAAAATTAAAATAAGATTTTTTTATATACTATAAGAGAAAAATAAAAAAATACCGAATATTATGTAATGCATCCTCAACAATAGCACCAAAATTTACCATGTCTTAAACTTTAAAATTTATAAAACCAGATAATACTAATTTTTAAGATGTTTAGAAATATTTCATAACATATACATTAATTATAATTCAATAAATGGTTCCAAAAATAATGGAAAATTTTCAAGTCCATCACACAGATGTAAGATAATATTGGGTAATATTTTAGAATTATATTAAAAGTATGATTTTTTATAATTTTTAGACTAAATGATGAATATAAAATATATTTAAAAATTTTCAAAAAAAGAGAAATAAAGGTGTAGACATTATGATGATGTCAGTGCTTGATGAATACGAATCAAGTGAAAATAAAGTTCTACATGATGATTCTTATGTAAGTGATTACATATAATTTAATGAGTCAAATTAAATTTTATAAAAATAAGACGAATTGTAATTTAATGAAGAAGAGTTTCAAAATTTAAAATCATGATACTGGTTGTAAAAAGATTATTGTAAAAGAATCATAAAATTAAGTGAAAATTAAGTTTAAAGTAGGAAAGATAAAGTTTCAACTTTGCGATAATAATTATTGAAATTCTATGTGTGTAATAGGATTATTGTGTAATATTCATAACCTCGAAAGTTTTTCTTATACACATATGACATGAGTAATCTTTAGATCTTTTTGTAAAGTCTAAAAATCAATGAAGTGAGTGGTTAACTTGTCTCTAGTCGCTATCACCTAGTAGAGCAGAAAAATAAAGATTTTGCAGTTCTTCGACATATGAGTTGAATGGAGGTGGGGGCATGTCTCAGGAAACTTTATCTTCAAGTCCACACAATAAGAGAAGGCTTATCATTACATTTGGTGTGCTCTCAAGAGGTGACGACTTATCTCTTAGTGGATTGTCTTCTTCTTGATGCCAATTTATTTATCGATCAATCAGAGATGATTTACTCAATAGATTTGTAATATTTTTATCTAGAATAATTCAATAATTTTAGTAACGATATTTTATAAATCACATTGACGAGATTTTCACTGATGATTTAGTAATTTTAGGAGTTTAATCATTCACCAAAAATTTGTAGAAAAATTATGATTTAATCAAATAAAATATGAGCTTTTGACTCTAGTAAGATTTAAACCCTCGTCAATCACCCAACTATATGAGAGAGAGTGAAATAAGTACATGAATACCCTTATAAAATGATGTCATAAGGATATTTTTTTCTATAAGTAAGGGGTATTTTAGTTATTAAAATTATAAAAATCTTATGAGAAGGTTGTGATTGCTGATTTAGTCCCACATTAGTTATATGTAGAATTTTGAGACAAATACATAGTAATACGAGCTTGATAATAAATAAGTTCTTTTCTCTTGTGTGTACGACCACTCTTTGCCCTACATCTAATTATCCACTAGTGATGTGGAAGGGGCATGATGCACACGTGTCTCCTACTAATTAGTCCATCCTTAATCACTTAAGCCCTTTGTGATTCCACCTGATTATGCTTCCAATATGTTTGTGGGCCAAACTAGTTAGTATGTTCATATATTTTTTATCTTTTTTTCTATTTATCTTAAAAATAAGATTATAAAAATTATATAATTTCACATAAAATTATATAATTAGCTAAATATATAAATTAATTAACTAAAAATTAATTATTCATAATTTAATATTAATATAAGTCTATTTATTATGAGTTAAGACTAAGTTATATTATTAATTAATTACTAACTCATGATAATGAAAACTTATCAAATACTATCAATAGAGGAGAGATAAAAAGGTGGTTATCGTGTCAATAGTGGGGGAGAGAGAAAAAAGGAAGGTAAAATTAATGGCATCAACGAGAGAAAGAAAAAGATGGTTCTTGTGCTAATAGTGGGTAAGAGAGAAAAGAGGGCGATTGGTGGTTGATGAGGAAATAGAAGACCGTGATCAGGTGAATGGTGATGAGGCAGAATAGTGGTGGCGAAGTGAATGCCAAAAGGGGCTGGAAATAGTGATGATGGGGGAGACAAAGAGGAGGGAGAATGGTGGCAGCGAGGTGATTGATGATGAGGAAGAGAAAGAGACAAAAAAGGAAATAAGGGAAGAGATAGAGGGAACAAAGGGGAAGGGGATTCCAGCTGAGGAGAAGAAGGGGAAGAAGGGGGAAGAAGACATAAGAAAGGTGAGAATAGATGAAAGGTAAGTTTCAAATTATTTCAAACATTATGTTTATATGAGATTCCATCTTATATTTATAGAGGAGGGAAGCAAAGCCATGGAATAGGGACAAGAGGAGAAGGTGGAGAAACATTTGAGGTGGTTAGAGGCATCTCTTGGAGAGGATATGCCTTGACCGTCTCTTACAAGCCCATAGGAAGATGGGCCCTCTTCCATTGGCTTCTCTTCCTCTTCTTCTTCTTGGGCCCATAATATAGGATGGACTCTAATGTTGATCCCTATGAATCCATGAGATGTCAATCTAAGGTTTCACTTGAGGTTTAACAATGGAGGTAGCCTCCAGTTGACTTGCCCTATACAAAGTTGAAGGTTAGGGTTGACCCTAATCGTAACTAGCCTTCTGGGGGTTGACTTCTTGTTGCTGGTGGAGGCCCCACTTGAAGTTGACCTTAATCTTGAATGGACTTCATTACATCATCTTGAGGAGTGGCATGATTCGATTCAACCACCCCATCAATTCTCCCCATGTGGGAAGAATTTAGCTTTGCTAAATGGTACATGGTAATTGCACAAAAATCTTTCCAAAGCTTGGGCGCTAAATTATGGAGGTCAAAAGATGATATCCAACAAGAATTAGAGACATGATAGATTTTCCATTTTACAAGGAATTTCCTTTGACTTCCTTGATGATTAGAAATGATTTGATCATTTAAGATATATTTAACTTGATTTTCTTCTACATTTGGCTATAATTCAATATTCATGGTGTGGTATCTCTCACAAGTTTGGGGCTCAAGCATATCATTGAGAATGTTCAGTGATCTCTAGTAATCATTTAAATTTGAGACATTGAAGGTAGAAGAGATACCCCAATAAGTGGAATGTCTATAATATAGGCACTTGATCCCAATCTTTTAATAACTTTGAAAGGTCCAAAACTTTTTGGCTGGAGTTTAGAATACATTTTGAACAAATGGGAGGGATTAAGCCTTATCATAATACGATCCCCCACTTTGAATTCCTTATGTTATCTATAAGAATCTGTTAATTTCTTGTATACATCATTGGATATGAAAATTTATTTTTTTATTTTTTGATACAATGAACTAACATGTTTTGTAAAATTCTCAGCTTAAAATGATGTTCTTTCATTCATAGAACTAAGATGCAAATCTATTGGCTTTCTTGGATCAAAACTGTTAACAATCTCAGAAGAACTTATATCGATGATTCTATTTGTAGAAGAGTTATAAGCAAGTTCAATTCTAAGGAGTAAATCCCATGTACCATGATGATCTTGAATCAAATAAGTAGGTTTCCTAAACTTCTATTGACAACTTTGGTTTGACCATCTATTTGAGGATGAAAGGTTGAAGAGAACCTTAGCTTGGTAGCCATGAGATGCCATAATGTTTTCCAAAAATAACTCATAAATCTTATATCTCTATCAGGTACTATAGATTTGAGAGTGCTATGTAATTTTACTACTTTATTGAAGTAAAACTTTACAATATGAGAGACATCAAGGGTTTTGAAACATGTGATGAAATGAGCCACTTTGAGAATCTATCTATCACAATGAATATGGAATCATATTTTTTAAGTGTTTTAAGAAGACCAAGAACAAAGTCCATGCTAATATCATACTATGGTTTGTGAGGAATAGGAATTGGAATATATAACCCTATATTTTGCTTGACTTGTTTTCTAGTGACACAGGTCTTATATTGAGCTATGGTTTTGGCTACTTGTCTCTTAAGTCTAGGCTAGTAGAACCTTTCTTCTATCTCAATGATAGTCTTGTTTCTGCTGAAGTGTTTGAATAGGCCTCCTTGATGTACTTTCTATATAATAAAATCTCTCACGAAAGTTTTTGGTATACAAAGTTGTTGATCTCTAAATAAGTACCCATCCACAAGATGATACTTTTATTAATGGGGGATGTACCAAATAGTGCTTCTGCATAAATTTGAGCAAAGTCAGGACATTAATCATAAAGTTCTTTGACTTTTTCAAACCCTAAAACTTGATTACTTAAGAGGCATAGGAGGTAAACCTTTCTATTAAAGGCATGAGCTACTTTATTTTCTATACTTGGTTTATGTTTAATGGCAAAGTTGTAAGACTGAAGATATTCCAACCATTTTCCATGTTGAGGATTTAATTTCTTCTAGAAATTTAAAATTTTGATAGCCACATGGTTTGAAAGAAAAACAAACTCTTGATAGAGGAGATAGTGTCTCGAATGTTTAAGAGTTTAGACTAAGGCATACAACTCTTTATCATAGGTGGAATAATTTAACTTAGATGAGTTAAACTTTTCACTATGAAAACTTATAGGGTGGTCTTCTTGACTTAGCACTCTTATTTCTATACCTCAAGCATCACAAGCCACTTGTAACACTTTACATAAATTAGGTAATCTAAGAGTAGGGGCTTGTATCATTAGCTCCTTAATGGTTTGAATGGATCTTTGGGCTTCTTTAATCCACATAAACTCTTCTTTCTTCATATAGTTAGTAATAAAGCCCATGATTGAACTAAAGTTTCTTATGAACCATCTATATAATGTAGCTAGACCATGAAAGCTTCTAACTTCATAAATATTAGTTAGAATTTGCCACTCTAATATACCTTTAGCTTTTTTTTGCTTTGCTGATATTCTATTAGAAGATACAATAAATCTAAGAAAAGTAACTTGATTGTGAAGAAAGGTACACTTCTTGGCATTGGCATATAAATTGTATGTCCTTAGAGTTTGGAAAATCTTTCTAAGGTGGTCAAGGTGTGTTTCTTGATCTTGACTGTATACTAAAATATCATCAAAATGAACAGCTATCAATTTTCCCATATATTTTTTTTAAGGTATATGTCATTAACCTCATGAAGGTGCTAACGGTTTATATAAACTGAATGACATGACTATCTTAGAAAATATCTTAAAGGTAGTTTTCTACTTGTTGCCTTCTCTAATTCTATCTTGATGATATCCACTCCTTAGATCTATCTTATAAAATATCTTAGATGATCTATCTTAGAAAATATCTTAGATCCATATCTCTAAGATCATCTAACCTAGGAATGAGAAATCTATATTTAATAGTAATTTTATTAATAGCTCTTCTATATATGTACATATGCCATGTACCATCTTTCTTAGGTACTAATAAGGTAGGAATTGCACAAGGACTTAGGCTTTCTTTAATGAATCCCTTTTCTATGAGGTCCATTACTTGTCTTTTAAGCTCTTGGTGTTCTGTTGGGATCATCCTATAATGAGGTAATTTAGGAAGAGATGATCCTAGCACTAAGTCAATATTATGTTGGATTTTTCTAAGAGGAGGTAAAGAGTTATCTAATTCCTCAAGAAAAATGTCTTTAAAATATTCAATAAGGCTGGAAACCAAAGGATCTAGAGGAAGGGATTCACTAATTTATTTTTCTTATATGGGGACTAAGGTGAAAAGAGGAAGAGTGGATTGAAAAATATCCTCTTTGGGAAAAATCTTGTAGACAAGATTCACTTGAGGAGGATAAATAATGGACTTGATAATCTTTGGTTTTTTCATAAAAGGATGGAGGAGAATCTTTTTACCCTTAAAAATAAAAGAATAGATATCAGTCTTACCTTGAATAGTCATGTCATTATCAGATAACCAAGGCCCTCCTAAGAGAATACTTCCTACATTCATGGACATCACATCTAAGCAAACTTGGTCATCATAATACATGAGTTTTAAGTTGAGTAAGCACCTTATATCTATAGGTATAGATGTGAAGTTAACCCATGAAACTTTATGCTCTAATTTTGCCTAAATAATAGCTAAATTCATAAAGATTTTCTATATGTGAGACTAAGACAAGATTAAGAAAAGTGAGTGCAAATACTTTATGGGGATTTTCTGCTTGTCTCGTAGAGACTTTTCACATGTGAGATTTAGATATTAAAAAAATATATATGGGGAAAGTTACTTCCCTATGTTGTTTATAATAATAATAATAATAAAAGACAAATGGAATAAACTACTTGAGAGCACGAATCTAGAAGATAAAGCTGAAGATAGTTTTAAAACTTTAGTAAACTTTTGATCATTTAATTAGTGATTTCTGAAATGAAAGATGTTGAATTCTTTGCATTGAAGAGAATGAAAGTTGAGATGAATATTTTGGAATAGTTCATTTGGATATGGAACTATTTTTTACTTTTGATATTGTAGGTAACTATTTCAAATCACATGAATCTTAATATTTATTAGACCATCTCTAGTGAAAAAATAAGAAATTAAATGATTCATGTAAAAGAATTAATAAATAGTTTAACTTTGCAAGTCTTTTGCTTATTGCTAGGGACTAGAAAATTCAAAGTTAGGATATTTGTTAAAGCTAGATTTTATATTCTAATTAGTTTTATTATATTATTTTGTGTGTGTTAACTTACATAATAAATATATTAATATATTATTAAATTAAGAAGTATGAAGTTAAAAGAGTTAGCATAACTTTTGATTATTAGAAAGGTATAATGATAAAATATTGAATTGTTGCCGCTCACTGGTAAGTTGGCACTTGTTAATTGATTCGAAGGGGTACTGCAGTCAAGTGGGTAGACCCAAATTGGGGGAGCCATAAGTTGGGTTTGAGTGGCAAAAGACTTGCTTCATACACGTGTGCATCTCTCTCCTGCCATGTCTCGATGACCAACCGATCTTAGAGCAAGGAGCATCATGCACACATGTACATTTGAGGGTGGACTACCTTTTACCTTCTCTTAAGATTGTCATAAGCATTATTTTATTTTGGGAGAAGAAATCTCTATTGAGAGAATGTAACTTTGCTATATCTCAAGCTTAATCGTCGAAATAATTCTGATGTGTGATGAAAAGTTCATGTTTGTTTTCAAGGTAGTGATCTGGAGCGTGGTGTGATCTAGTGGTACTTAGTGGGCCATGTTATTAGATAAAGGACATCCCATGACTATTAACTACCATGATACATGAAGCAAAAAACAATCTATCGGCACACACATGACTATAAATACTGATCTAACAACGAACAAAGTGCCATGGTATCAAAGACTTAAGTTCCCAGTCGGTAGTGGTTTGTGACAAGTTAATCATGCATCACTCAATGCACCATGCAAACAAGCACATCTGATCCAACAATATATGAAGTGTCACAATATCAAAACTTTTCTCACATATATCATTATTAGGAATATAAATACAATATTGATTATTATTAGGTAAAATAGACATTATTGATTATCTTTAAAAACTTGACGATAGTGATAAATACGGTATTGATTCTTCCCTCTTTTTATGTGATCAATGTCTTTAATGATCGGCGAGCTCATTCCTTCCTCCCTTGATTGCACTCAATGCCTCTAGCGAGTGGTCAGCTTTGTCCTTCTCCCTCTAGACGATAGTGACAGTGTGGTTGATCCCTCTTTTGTGATACTCTCTAGTAAGTGGCATAGTGTTTCTAGACAACACTTCTATGACTTCCGACATGATGTGATATGTTTGGACAAAACCAAGTTATCACACCAGTGTCCCTAGTTACCCAAGAGGCATACTAAATTTAGACAATGATTGATTTCCTACTTTTGTCATTTATTTACATACTTTCAATATTTATTTATATTTTACGATAAATTATTTCTATTTCATGTATGTTTCAATTGAAATGAATTGAACTATTTCAAATTTTTATAAATGATCTTTGTTCTTTTTCTGAATCCTCTAGAACTCGTTTGAGATCAAGCTAAGATTGTTCAACTTATTTCTTATTAATTTTCATAGTTGAATATTGATTTATTCATGTTACGACGTTCTGTGAATAATTAGTATTTTTCTATTTTTGTTGAATTAGAATGCAAAATCAATGAGATTAAAGATTACTTAATGATAGTTGAACTATTAAAATAAGGTGGAGATATTTATAGTTGACCTCATGTCATGTGTGTGAATTCTCGATCACACATTCATCTAAGAATCATGGTCACTATAAAAATGGGTTGACTATGTTTTTCTCTTTGTTTATTATCATATTATTTCTATCTCTCCTTCTCTTATGAGACCTCTTCTTCTCTCTCCATTGTTCGTGAGATCTCTCTCTCTCTCTCGATCAATTTCTTTCTCTTTCTCTCTCTCCATCGATCTTCTTCTCTTTTCTCTCTTTCGTAAAACTTTTCTCTGTCTCTGTCTCATGTAAATTTTCTCTCTTTGTCTCTCTCTTTTTCTCATTTTTTTTGCTTCCATTCCTTTATTCTTCTCACCTCACCCTTGTATTTTATTATTTCTGTTAAATAATTATAAAATATTAAAATTACTTTATATAAAAACTAAATTAGTTTTCATGACTGATTAATCAATCTATTTGTATTCGACTTGAGACTTATATCTATATTAATATTTTATTAAGTCTTAGCTATAAATATTATTAGATAATGGGTGTCTGATAAGTTTTTATTATCATGAGTAATAATAAATAAATAATATAGTTTTAGTCTTAACTCATGATAAATAGACTTATAGTTATGTTAAATTATGAAAAATAGTTTTCAATTGGTTTAGGTGATTTTTTGGCTAATTATGTGATTTTATATAAATTTATATAATTTCTATAATTATATTTTTATGATAAATAAAGAAAAGAAAAATAAAATTAAAAGATAGAAAAAGGGGGGGGCAACTGACCCTGCAAATGGGTCAGAAGTGTAGTCAAGGTGGAGTCGTGAGTAGGGGCTTGAGTAGTTATGAACCAATGGGGGCATGTGTGCATCACTCCCTTTTCATGTCACTGATGGTTAATGATGGCTGGGACAAAGACTAGTTGTACACACACAAGAAAAAGACTCATTAATTCTCCAATCTTATATTATTATACATTCATCTCAACATTCAACATATAATTGATATGTGACTAAATCAATAGTCACACCTTCATCAGAATGTTTTTCATGTTTTTAATACTTAAACTATCCCTTGTTTATAACAATGATAAATAGACTTATTTCCTTGTATAAAGATATTTCAAGCAATTATAAGAGGTAGGTTTGAATTCTAGTAGCATCAAAACTCATATTTTTTATTTAATTAAATCAGAATTTTCTTGCAGATCGTCAGTGAAGAATTAAGCTACCAAAATGACTCAATCATTAACAAAAATCTTGTCAATGTGATTTGTAGAGTATTGTTACTAAAGTTGTTGAATGTTTCACAAATAAAAAGATTGTAAATTCATTGAGTAAATCATCTCCAAATAATTGACGAATAAATAATCATCGAGAAAATAATGATCTTCTAGAAGATGAGTCACTACCTCTTGAGAGCGTACGAGATGTAATGAAAAGCCTTCTCTTATTGTGTAAACTTGAGGATGAGGCTCCCTAAGAGGCACCTCACCTCCATCTAACTCATCTTTGTAACCTAACAATTACCAAAAAGTCGTAAAATTATCACTTTTTATTTTTTAAGGTGATAGTCATTGAAGATGATTCGACGACCTATTTCATTGATCTCAAAACTTTACAAGAAGATCTAGAAATTGCCCACGTTGCTCTTGTTCAAAGAGAGTCTTTAAGGTTGTGAACACTACATAATAATCTTTCTTAATACTCAATATTCTAATGTATCATTGACGCATCACTATCACAATGCTAGAATTTTATTTTACTATTTTTTAACTAATTTAACTTTTAGTATTATTTTTTAGACTTCGAAAAAAGATATAACAAATGCTCAAGTCGTTCATGTTCAAGGAGAGCCTTTGAGGCTATAGACATCATTTGATAACCCTTCCAAATACAAAATTTCGTAAATCGCTATTGTGAGGCTAGAACTCTAACTTTCCTACTTTCAACTTAATTTTCACTTTATTTACTGATAATTTGAGTGATGTCAAGTTTTCGAATTATTCGTCATTCAATTATAATACTTCTGACTTTTACTAATCTTAATTTGACTAATTAAATCATTTATAATCATTGGCGTAAGAATTATAGAGTGAAACTCTATTTTTTTTTTAATGACGTTCATCGGGTGCTGATGACATCTTGATGTCTACACCCTTATTTTCCTTTTTTATGAATTTTAAATATATTTTATTTTTATTTCTTAATTTAAAATTTATAAAAAATCATATTCTTTGTGATTTTTTTTGAAATATTATCTGATATTATATTACATCCATGTGATCAACTTAAAAAATTTACACTATTTTTAAAACTTTTATTGAATTATAATGATATATTTATTCAAAAATACTTTTAAATATCTAAAAAATGTATTTTTTAGTTTTATAAATTTAAAAATTACGTGATTTATTATACAATGACTAAGTCATGTTAGTGTTTAAACACTAACAAGTGTATATCTATGATTAAGAGAAAGAAAAAGAAAAAAATAAGATTGATTTCATTTGATTATGATTAACCAAGTTCACTATATTTAGGCTTCGATTGTGAGGACCACCATTGCCCTTGGTTAATAGGATGGTTGTGAGGGCCATTGTCACCCTTGATAGGGGTTTAGTCGTGAGGACCACTGCTGCTCTTGATCAAAGCTTGTGGCTTGACACACCTTCGTTGAGCATCCTTTGAGCATTGTTGTCTTTCTCACCTCCTTTTCTTCATCCCCGATGAGCCACCACCTTCTTTGTCGCTATCTTGCCTCAATTACTTGATGTCACC